TGTGATTATTTGTGTTTTCATTGTATTTTAGAGTTTTCGACTCGGAAATCAACTACCTTAAATTTCGAAGTTTTTCATAATTACCCATGGTGGAAAAATTCAGTTGAGATAACTTTTTCATGGGGTGATCAATTGCTATGATTGTAAGAATAAGTAACTGAAAAACTACCACTGAAAAATAATATACCGACGCCTATGTCGAGACGGGAATTCCTTCTTTGTGCTGTTCCAATTGGTATTGGAAATACTATACAATAATTTTTCAAATGCATTTGTGTTCTTGATGTTTTTCATGGTATCCGGTAGATTGTTATATAGTTTCAAGCTCTGATATCTGTAACTTTTTTTGCCCAATACTTTTATTCATGTTTATGATATATTCTTGTAATATGTGCTTATTTTTATGTAACCGTATGTTGCTATAGTAGAAGAAAAGTTGTATTGGGTCTAATATTTCTGTTTGTTGGATCATCCGACGGATGGGTTGTCTTTTTATTGAATATGCTTTTTAGAAACCGCTTTTCAGTTATTAGTATTTTGTTCATGATTGTTTTACCTGCCTACCCCATGCCAGAATTCCATAACATATATTTTTTTTCGTCGAGTAGAGTGTTATGAATCTATGTATTGAATATTAGAGTCTTTTGACTACGTGATTAATATGTGAGTTCCATTTTAAATTGGAGTCTTTGTAAATACCCAAGAACTTTATATACGAGAGACCGGTTTTATTTAAAAAATATTTGCAATATTCAAATTTTCCGATGTGGGGAAGTTGTGTATATTTGCGTATATTGGTAAGTAATGAGTTCTTTCGAAATTGATGGTTAGAAGTTAATGTGCGAACAATTACTCAAAATACTCAAAATATCTTGTTCCACTTTTGCTTTTAGGTCGGCCCATGTGGTATTAGGAACAAGTCATTCAGATAGATGTTGAATAATATTGGTCCCAAAATAGTGCCTTGCATATGATTTTAAGATTCGATAGTAGAGAGGGCATCACTCCACCAAGGACTCCAATAATCACAACAACCATTTCGACAGAGTGGTCAGCCTGGATAGCCTGCGGAGTTCGAAGAGAAAATCTCGATATTTTTCGGACGATACTCGTCTCGTCAGGAGCTGAAAACTCCACGACAAATGGTTAGGCTCGTTAGCTTGTATGAACCTTAGGGTGGGGAACGAATAGTTCCAATAAATTCGGCACTTCTCGTTCCCCACAACGGATTCAATATCGCCCGGAGCGTAGGGCAACATCAGTGTCACGTCAATACCGTAAGAGTGGCGTAGATGGCAATAGAGCAATCTCAGGACCACGTTATGTCGATGGATATAGGCCGAGACCGCATATGCTGGACATGCTGATAACAAGTGCATTAGGGTCTCGGACGCCTCACGGCAGGCCCGGCACTTTGTGGTAGACTAAGGTGTTGATGACACCTTTCTGGCATGCCATGATGAACCCCTCAGTTTCCGACCTCAGCCCACTCGACCTGAGGAAAGCGAAAGTCGTGCGCTTTGATAAGCCAAGGTATCGAAAGTCTTATTGTTATTATTATTATTGTTGTTTCCTTGATAACTATCAAACTCGGAAATGCCCAATAAATCCTACTTTTAGTCGGGATAAAACTTTTAATGACTTTTCCTTTGACAAGTTATCAGTAACTATATAAAACATTTTGTTTTTTTATCTACAGGGTCGTATTTTCAATAAATAAAAGCAAACTAATAAAAGGATGAACAAATCAATATAACAATTATTAACGATAATTGAATAAATACTTCACAGTTCAAATGGATATTTCTAAACTGAAATATATGCTTATTTCAAATCGAAATATAAAAGTGAAATTTGAAAATAAATGTATGTTATGCTCAATAACTTTGAGAATTGGATTACCACTACATTTAATATAGTTTATATGGTATGATAATAATTCTCTGAAATGTACTGATGTTTTAAATTCAATTCTTATTCATTGATAAGAATAACAGAATAGATAAAACTGCATCAACGGCAGTATATTGGCTCAGTATTCAAAAGTCTTATGTAATGTGAATGAATTCAGGAATAATGCTATTGAGAGTATATGTTTTTTTCGTATCCTTTATGAAGATTCAGTCTTTCTTCCATTTTCAATAAAACTTATATTTACCTAATTCATATTGGATTTGAATCGCTGAAGATTAAATCCATTTGGAAAAACGTTCTCAGGAAGTTAATTCCGCAAAAACACAGTTCTCCAAATGAAAGAGTTCTGAAACAGTGAAGTTCAAGGTATACTGAGTTTAACCTCAAAACGATGAGCAGCCACAGTCCTTCGCGTATATCTGATATGTACTCTTGGTGGAATCAAATGTGCCAAGTCACTTGAACACTTCCCGTGAAAGAATATATAAAATAGAGACAAACTTCCAACCTTTCTTCGATGTTCCATACTATCAAGGTTGCATGTGATATTTGTGTCTCCAATCAGGCGGATGACTCCTTTCTGGATGGAATCCCGCAGCTTCAGCGTATGCTTAGGGGCGGAGCTCCATACATGAGAACAATTCCCCAAAGAAAGTATGATCTGAGTTTTATAAAGCATCAAAAGTTACTGAGGTGTGTACAGTTTTCTGGTTCGGAACAGTGTTTCAAGCTTTTGAGAAACAACCTTTGCAATTCCAGCAACATCATTGTGCCAAGACATTGTTGTCCATTTTAACCCCCAACAAACTTCTGATCCAAAATGTTTTGTACTGCGTAATTCTGTAACGGTACTATGTTCAATTTAAATTGTGTTATTAATTCAATTTTTGTTTGCAGAGAACCTGTAATCCGAAATCTTGTGGTGGTGAAGCAGATGATCAGAAAGCAGTATGTGGTTCGGACGGTCTAACCTACCCAAATCGTTGTATTTTTGCATTAGCACACTGTGAAAACCAGAATCTGACTTTAACGAAGAGGGGACCCTGTAAGAAGCAGCGAACCTGTTCAGATTGGCAACTCGTTTTAGAAGACAACCCAGCGTACAATAATAGGTAATGATAGTAATTCTAATGTGACCAACTATTAATAAATTTTAATTCAAAATATTCAAGTTTAAATTCAGTTATAGTTTCTTTGATTTACGTTGGGAAAATCCTTTTATTAGACCATATTTATAACAATCGATACTTGACTTATCTTGACTTATAAGGGCAAACTGAGAAGTTGACCTCGAGTGCTTATCGAAAGAAAAGTGATTCTAATAGACATCTCTACTATAAATCTAGTCATAAGGTAGTGTTAGAGGTATAGTCGGATGTTTGCAGATAGTTTGCAATGTAGTTCGCAATGTGGAAGAGGAAGTAACTATTATTAAAATTCATTTGGAAAAAACGATAATTATATGGCACTACTTCAAAATGATGTCATTCCAAGTTTACCAAATTTATATCCTGATTCAGAAGACCCTCAAGTTCCAGTGAATATGATATGGTTTCAGCAGGATGGAGAACCACCACTTACCAAGTTACTGTCCGGCAATATCTCGATGCAACATTTCCCAATCGGTGGATAGGGAGGCGAGGATCGATTGAATGGTCAGCACGATCACCTGATCTTTCATCATTAGATTTTTTTAATGGGGATATGTAAAGAGCAATGGGTTCAAAATTAAACCTTCAGATTTGAATGACTTAAAAGAACGAATAACGCCTGCGATTAGGTCGGCCACGCCTGATATGTTAAATCATGTTAGAATATAGTTTCTTTTGAGGTTAGGATGTTGCCAAGACGTTCGCGGTGAATATTTTGAACATCTATTTCGTTAACATCCATAGTTTTTTTCGTATTTTACATTTCATTACGTTTTGCCTTACATTTTAGTTTTTGAGTGTATTTTATCGAAATTCAGTAATCACATGATTTTAATTTATTTTATCTTAATTGTTGCAATAAATTTGAAAGCGATAACATTTTTGAATAGAGAATGAGGAGACCTTCAAAACGATATAAAACAAACCTATACTGCCAATTTAAAAAAAATTAGGGGTTACCTGTCATTCGAAGGGGGTTGAAGCTAGGGGTGGAATTTTTTACGTTGAAGAATGTCAAATTATATATTTTTTGAAATATGTACAGTAACCGAAATAATGAATATAATCTATTTGGCTTTTACACACTGTATAGGTAGGTTTGTTGTGGTTCTACGAAATTCAGGTTCTAGGACGTCAGGATTATGCGCAGTTGATATAGAGCGTTCTGGTTTATTGAGGATAATTTCTGACTGATGAATCCTCTGTTCTGGTTTCGACTGCAAAATGATCCTAAATTGTCTTGAACCGTCCCGAATCGTTTTTGCTCTCGAGGCTGAACTGTAGCGAACTGTCTCCGTTGCTCATGCGCATTCATGTGGAAATTTGTTTGGGTTATTTTCTAGGATGTTTTTTTATTTATTTGATTTAAATAATTGATGATTGAGGTTAGATAACATATGAACTGACTACAAGGATACGCTACATAACGAAATGGACATGATCAACATAATTTTCTCGTACTTGTGATGTACTGTTTGGAACCTTCGGTGTAGTAATGAATATTACTGGAGTTGGGAAGTACTCCAACCTTCGGGCCATAATAATTTTTTTAGTTTGTTCCAAGGGCCAATTTCTGCCCTTAACTATATTTCTAGAATAGGATGGTCGCAAAGTGCGTGACCTAAGCAAACTTACGCGTTTTTTGCATTTCAATTATTATTGTGCATTGTGAAACTTAACGACATCTAGTGGCGTGTAGTGGTACTATGTACTATCTTTTTCAGCTACCCGCTAGGTGGCATTAGGCGTAATTAAATATTTGGAATTACCGCGTTGGTTCGAGAGAGTTCTGGTTCTAGCTAGTGTATTCCGTTCACCTCGAGATGGCAGTAATAACTGCATATAANAAGTACACAAAGAATGTTTACAGATCTCAATTAACCGATGAGCATCTTAAATCTCTTTTGATAATTGGTACAAGTAAAATTGATCCACAACTACAAAGTATTGTCGGTGGAAAATCACAATTACATAAATCTCATTAGTGTTTTTGTTTTACTGTGATGCATTTCAATTATTTGTTAGTTATTAATATGCTTAAACTTAGATACTTAAGTCAAGTTTTCTTTGTCATCATTTCTGTCATTAAGTTTTACCTTACAAGTGATTAAAACCGAGTAATTATCATTATGTGTTCTCTTCTTCAACTTATCACAGTAATAGTAACAACAGTTAGGTAATCATTGGCTGTCGCGGGCCAGATTAATGACACAAGAGTATATGACAAATCCTCCAAAAACTTTTCCTCATTAAAACAAGATATTAGCTACCAATCACATTTATCCAACTGAAACAACTTCTAATATTTTTGATCTCATTTGTTTTCCTTTCACATTTCGGAATCGACCTGATATCATCAAGTGGTATCCAATTAGTTTCTACTAATAAACAAAGCTTTGAGAACTGCAACTTTTTATCAACTCTAACGACCTTCTCTCATAGACTAAAAGTTAAAAAAACATTGACATTAAAGAGTTGCCCATATGTTCATACATATAGATGGAAATCATTAGAAACATAAATAAACAGAAAATTCCATGATTAACAAAACATCAACATCGCGTTTATTAATTAATGAAAGGGAACTGTTTCTTTGTAACTTGATATAATTTTGTTTGTTTAATTAATGTTCATTAATTGGTACTTACTTTCCTGGTTTAATACCGATATTGTGATAACAGTTAATTCTTAATGAATAGGTCCTTAATTGTGAATCACATGACTCACCTGAAGACATTTTGGCTAAATTGTGGTTGGAACCTTCTTGAACAGAAAGTTTTTGTTACGAACAATGTATATTACCATCATTCCTCATTGGCAATAGGTACTGATATCAAATATATAAAAAACTCATGTAACGGTGTTTGTAGTCGCAATCCTCCGAATAGGTTCGACCGATTTTTATGAAATTTTTTAGTAGGTATGAGAATAGGTCGTAAAGTTTGACCAAAGTTTTTTCTTGTTTTTTTTTGTTGAATTTGGTATCCATTTTGATATCCTATAGAAATAATCTATATGACAGACCAACATTTGCCGGGACAGCTAGGTATCAGAAATCAGCTGGGAATTAATTTAATGATCCTCATTATGCAAGGTTACGATTCAAACATAAAAATAGCTGTTTGAAGTAATTTTATCCTCCTCTCCTGATGATGCTAACTTGATCATCGAAACGCGCGTCGAGAGACAGCATCTTTGTTCTGGTGAGAGAAAAGTGTTTTTTTGATTCATTTCTCGCCAGAGTTTCCAAATTCTACTTATTAAACTATAAGTGATACATAAAATCAACAACCAAATTAACTGACTATCAACAGCAGACAATACTACTCCAAAGACATGCAGATAATGCAAAAAGCTATTGATCAAATAAAATTTTTCATTTTTCTTTCAGGATTTAGTTTTTCGGCAAGTTTGGTAAACTCATCAAATTACCTATTCGATAGAAAAAAATATGTAAAGTATGAAGGCTTTAAATCTGCTCCATATACTGCCAGTTCCGTAGTGCCCCAAGGCTCGAATTTAATACTTCTTTTGGTCTTGATTTTCATTAATGATTTAACTAAAATAATAAAAATTTCAATACTGCTCTACGGCGATAACCTTAAAATATTCAAAGTGATAGAAAATTATAGAGACTGCTTAGACTTATATTATAAAGTAGATTTGATATTTGATTGGTGTTCCAATAATCGTTTGAATCTTAATATGTATTGTCTTTTTCCAGAAAGGAAAATGTAATACAATTTACTTAAGAAATTGATAACAGTACCGTCAGTCGAATTAATGAAATGAAAGACCTTTGCATTGATTTTGAATAAAAATTCACTTTTTTTTCATCCGTTAGTCGAATGTTGGGCTTCATAATGAGGAAGACTAGAGAATTCAGAGATATAAAGGTAATAATCACGGTATTCTATGCTTATGTAAGTCCAAACTGGTATCCCATGTATAATTCTCACATAAAGCAAATTGAAGCCATTCTAAAAAAGTTCTTGAAATTCTTGTCTATTCACATTACAGGAACTTACCATCAAAGGGGAACTGACTATTCTATCCTTTTGAACCAATTTGATATTATATATCATTGAATACATGTCGACTCTTCATTACAGTCGCATTTCTATATAATTTAATAAATGATGACATCTCAATTTTCATGTACCACGCCTCAACTCAAGATACGAAAAAAAATTTTTTTGTGTTCAATGCTTATTGTTAAATCATCAGAAAATGGAACTTTTAACGGGTGATGTGCAACTGTATTGCCAAACATGCGCCAAACTAACTGACTATTATAAGTAAACAAGTATATCTGAGGCACCAGTCCATCTAATAATAACACTGATGATCTTCAAACATGACTCTACCTCTGACGGAAGCACCAAACTCTTACGAAGATTCGAAAAAGATGAACACTTCAATCTAGCAGACCACTATTATAATCTTCATGCAGTCACTGTTCATTGTGGTTCTGGCGTTGAATCTGGTCATTATTATGCATTGGTCAAAGACGAAACGGACTGGTTTAAGTTTGACGATAGTCCTGTCACTAAGTGTTCTGGCGATGCCTTGAATTTACTGGAGCCTCTGGAGACATCCTACATTTTGTTTTATGAGAGAGAGAGAGAGAGGACATTGGCAAATTAGGATCTTCAAATGATATGATGCTGCAAGTTTTTCCGGGTTTTCCTGCAGCTGAAAAAGCAATTGCGCCAATGGAATCAATGAAGTCGCCTCGGAGCGCCAATTAATAGGAA